GCGTCAGGCTTCAGCTCCAGTAATCCCCCAAGTTGCGTTGCTTTGGAGAAGGGGGTGCAATTGGGGTGGAGCTTGCCGTAAAAGGTGGAGAGGGAGTGGTGTGAGGGCAGGAATAGGTGGGGCCTGGGCAGAGGTTGTCCAGGATCCTGCACCCCCTAAGGGATGGCCCTGCTGGTGCCAGAGTCTTCAGAGGGAATAAGCAGAACGTGGCAATATGGAGAGATCAGTCCTGTCATCCTACCTTAAATTCCATGCAATAGCTGTGTGTGAAAATCTCTTTAAATGGTGGTGTGGCGGGGAGGAAGAAAGAGACACACCCATGTTCCCCATTTCCTGGCAAAGGTTATTCTAGTTGCTGTAGGTGTAGCTCCATGGAACTCCTTAATATTCCAGAGGATGCATCTAGTTCACGTGACTGTGTTGCAGTGATTCTGCACCTAGGTCCGAGGCTGCTGAAAAGAATCTGCCACCCTAGACAAAACATCAGAGTGTTGCTCCTCTCAAAGATTGATCTCCTCTCATTGAGGAGTAAGGGTGCAGGAATCCATAAAGTTTGGTGATTTGGGGGGAAGTACCAGGTTGGCTAACTACTCATTCAGGTTTGGTCAGCTGGCCCTAAGCAAAATCTGTTGTCCTAGGCAGGTACCTACCTTGCCTATAACTAGAGATCCCTGACCTAAGATAGCAACATTTGTAAGTTGTTGGGATAAAATAACCTTACTTAGTTTATCTAGCTCTTTTCAAGGAGGTCTGTCCAACCCATGTGACTCCTCGAGGTAAGCGCTTTGTGGATTAAACCTGTTGCAAAGGACTGCCCTACCATCATATATGATCCAGATGCATTGAAGTCCATGTTGTTCTTCCTTCAGCACTTTGCATTAATCTTTGTGTGGTGGACCTCAAGTACCTATAGGTTACGTCTACACTGGCAGCTTCTTGCGCAAGAACTCTTTTGTGGAAAAGTTCTTGTGCAAAAAGTCTTCCACAAGAGCACGTCTACACTGGCATGTGCTTTTGTGCAAGAGATGTGCTTTTGCGCAAGAGTATCCATGGCAGTGTGGACACTCTTTTGCACAAGAAAGCTCTGATGCCATTTTAACCATAGGGGCTTCTTGTGCAAGAAATTCATGTTGCCTGTCTACACTGCCCGCTTGTGGAAGAGCTCTTGTGCAAGAGGGCTTATTCCTCATGGGGAAAGGAATAACTCTTCCTGAAGAAGCCCTGTTTTACAACGCTATATTGTAAATGTACTTGCGCAAGAACATGTGTGCAGTGTAGACACCCGGCAAGTTTTTGCACAAGAACAGTTCGTGCGCAAGAAGCCGCCAGTGTAGATGTAGCCACAGTCTTTAAGGTTGATATTCTCTTCTTCCTCTTACATACTGTAAGGTAAAGGGGCTAGGAGGATTTCAGCAACGAAAATACCCTAAGCTTTTGTATGCAAGCTAAACAAGACCTGCACAACATGTTCCTAGTAGCAGTGGAAGCATGAATCTGTTCTTACTCTAGACATTAAGGCTATCTTTTGTTAAGGGCTAGAACTTAAAAAGAACTTGATATGAAAACTGTTTGTCTCCCCCCTTTAATTATTTAGGTTTGTGCAAGTTGACAGAGTGGAGATGATCTAGCTTAAACCAGAGGAAGGGCATACATTGTTTTTGTTATTAAGTGAGGCATGTAGCTACTGTGGATCTAATCTGCACTGCTTTCTATGACAAGCAGAGGGAGAGGGGGTGCATGTGGCTTTTAACCACTGAAGACGTGTCTTCTTTTGGAAATCTAAGTAGGCATTAGAGGAGGCCCTGCTAGGGCCTGTATCTGCAGCAAGACACTGGGTGCTGACTTGTCAGAGAAGAAAGACCAGGGAGAGGAAGGGAAACCAGCTAAAAGAGGAGCCGATCGCTCAGCGCATGTGCCCAGTGCCTGGAGAGAGACGCATGGCTGTACCGGGACCGAGCATAAGGTTGGGGGAGAGTGGGATCGGGTTACAGCAGGGAGGAGAGGCAATTTGCTAAAGGAAGTGATCTCTAACTTTTTAAAGCATGAGATCACTCTTGGAATAAGTGCAATCTAATATTTACCTCAGATATAAATACCCTTGGCCCACCTCCCTCCTGCCCACTCCATCCTCCCTCTCTTGCCCATCCTCACTCACTTTCATCAGGCTAGGGTAGAGGGCTAGGGTGCAGGCTCTGGTCTAGGATTAAGGGATCTGGAGTGTGAGAGGGGCTCTGAGTAGGGTTGCCAGGAGTCTGGTTTTGAACCAGACAGTCCAGTATTTGAGCTTTCTGTTCGGGAAACAAACTGAGAAAATATAAATGCCCGGTATTTTCTAAATAAGATGTAATGTAGATTGTGATGTAATGTCAAGTGTGTCTGGTATTTTTGTCTGGCAACCCTAGCTCTGAGGTGAGGTTGGGGCAGGCAGTTGGGATGCCAAAGGGGATTCTAGGTGGAGGCTCTGGGAGGCCGTTTGGATGCAGGGAAGCAGGGGGCTAGGGCAGGGGCTTTGGGGTGCAGGAGGGGGTTCATGCCTGGGGTAGGGTTTCAGGATGTGGGCTCCAGCTGGGCACTGCTGACCTCAGGTGGCTCCTGGGTGCTGGTGCAGTGGGGCTAAGGCAGGCTCACCCCTGCCCTGGCCCTGCACCACTCCCTAAAGCAGCCAGCAAACTCCATCCCGAGCCCTGTTGTGCCCCCTCCCCCCACTCTGCATTGTGGAGCTAGGATACAGAGTGGGAGGGGGCACCCTCCTCTGCACAGCAAGCGGGAGGCTCTGGGTGTGGGGGGAAGGGGCAGCTCCAAGGGCAGGCGACGCACAGCAGTGGAGGGAGGGGCAGCTGAAGCCCTGGCACTTGATAGCCTCCTGGCCAAACCAGTCAGGATCACCTGCCAGAGGCTCCGCGATCTACTAGTAGATTGGGATCTACTGCTTGGTGACCACTGACCTAAACCCACTATAGCTAAAAGGCCCTTCCTGTTATCTGAAGAGGAGAAGCCAGTGAATCTGAGCTTCAAGTGGATACTGAGGACAACAAATGAAAAAAAAAAAAAAACCAAGAATGGGAGTA